AGCAGCCACCCTCTGCCCCTCCAGTGCCTGATTTTTTGCCCTTCACGGTGCAGAGGGACACCTCCCCTGCCGGGCAGCTCCCCTTGCCCAGGGCCACGGAGGTGCCCAGGCGAGAGGCAGGAGGTGCTGGTGACGAGGGAGAGGACCTGACGAGCAGGCTGTGCCACACAGAGGAGCCCTTCTTCTGCCCACGAGCCCTTGGCTCTCTCTTCCCCTGCGAGGATTTGGAACTGGAGTCCCCCGCGCCTGATGCGGCCCAGGACACGGACCTGCTGGCACCATCACCAGTGGGGGAGTTCCTTGATGAACCCCTCCAGGACACCTCCACTGTGCTGGAGGGACCAGTGGCTTCAGAGAATGGCATGGGGGACCTGGAGGAGGGCGTTGCCACCAGCTCGGATGCTGGCCTGCCTCCCGCCTCTGCTGTTGTGCTGAGCTCCTGCCCTGACATCCAAATCGACCCAGCAGTTGAGAAGGGAGAGGAAAGCCCGGCTGTCCCCAAGAAGTCCTCCTCGCAGAGACCCTCCAGCTTGGGGAAAGATCTGGGGACAGCAGAGGGTCTGCCACAAAGCCCCCTAGACCCCGGGCAGACTTTGCCCTTGCTCTCATCCTCCCCGACGGCTTCCATCAGCACCTTCAGCTTTGAGCCCCTCAGCAGTCCCGACGGGCCAGTGGTCATCCAGAACCTGCGGATAACTGGGACCATCACGGCCCGAGAGCACAGCGGAACCGGCTTCCACCCCTACACCCTGTACACCGTCAAGGTAAAGGCTCCCCCTTTTTTTGAGGTCCCTGCCCTGGCAGGGGAGCACCAGCCGGTGTTTGGAGACGAGTATTTGCCCTGTGTGTGGCTCGACAACACGTTTCATCTGGCCGTGGGGGAATAGGGGGCACCGTGGCTTTTCCAGTGGCCGTTTGGGTGCAGCATAGGGGTTCCCACTCGTGGGCAAGGGTCCTGTGGGGCTGGTTGAATCTTTGATATCCTGTTTTCACCATTCCCTGCTCGGTGAGGGGTTTGTGTGCTGTGCAAATGGTGTTCTTCAGGGAAGGGTTAATCTGAGCAACTGCAGGCTGGGACTTCCGTGGGGGCCGGGGGCTGCGGGGCCAACAGGGACCACAGCACATGAGGATTGGTTTGGGGTCTGTAAGGATTACTGATGGTTGCTTTCCTCCTCAGTATGAGACGGCCGTGGAAGGTGACAGCGCGGGCAGCCTTCAGCAAGTGGCTTACCACACTGTGAACCGCCGTTACCGGGAGTTCCTCAACCTCCAGACCAGACTGGAGGAGAAACCGGAGCTCCGCAAGTTCCTGAAAAGTCAGTGCTTGCATTACCTCGCTGTGAAAATCCTTCTCCCTCTCACCTCAGTCTATGCTCCTCTGCTCTGAGGCTACCCTGCTGGGCTGGATGCTGGGCTGTTTGTGATGCCCATGTCCTTGGTCTGTCTGGAGCTGGCTAGAGGAGAAATTTATTTCTTTCAGCAGCAAATTCCAGTGTATCAAAACATCCTTGTTGCTGTTCAGATTACATCATGCTCTTGAACATGAGAGAATTAAGGTTTTAATACAGCTGTTGGAGCTTTCTTGAGCTTGCTAATGGGTTTGTTTCCTCTGCAGATATCAAAGGCCCAAAGAAACTGTTCCCTGATCTCCCGTTTGGAAACATGGACAGTGATAAAGTGGAAGCCAGAAAAAGTCTGCTAGAACCTTTCCTGAAGGTGAGGTACTTGCTTGTGTGCCCCTGCGGGCTGGCAAGCAGTGCATGGGACAGCTCTGTGCTGACCGTGCAGCCCATCAGATCCATTCCACCTGCACTTTACGTCATCAGGCTGGGAAGTTGCCTCCAAAGAGACCTAAAGCTCCATCTTTCTTTGCAGCAACTGTGTGCGGTCCCTGAGATTGCAAACAGTGAGGAGGTGCAGGAGTTCCTCGCCCTGAACACTGACGCCAGGATTGCGTTCGTCAAGAAGCCCTTTGTTGTCTCCAGGATAGACAAGGTAGACAAGTGGGAAACTGGTGACCTAAGCCTCTTACCTCCGCCCCTAGGCG